ATGCAAGAGTATTCCTCAACTTCACAGCCTCCCGTCTCCAAGACTTCTTGTTAGATTCTAAGTCATTTTCTAAACCTCCCCCCCAAAAGCCCTACATGCAAGAGTATTCCTCAACTTCACAGCCTCCCCTCTCCAAGACTTCTTGTCACGATTCCAACTCATTTTCTCAACCTCCCCCCCAAAAAACCCTACATGCAAGAGTATGCCTCAACTTCACAGCCTCCCCTATCCAAGACTTCTTGTCACGATTCCAAGTCATCTTCTAAACCTCCCCCCCAAAACCATACATGCAAGAGTATGCCTCAACTTCACAGCCTCCCCTCTCCAAGACTTCTTGTTAGATTCTAAGTGATTTTCTAAACCTCCCCCCCAAAACCATACATGCAAGAGTATGCCTCAACTTCACAGACTCCCCCCTCCAAGAGTTCTTGTCACGATTCCAAGTCATTTTTTAAATCTCCCCCCCAAAACCTTACATGCAAGAGTATGCCTCAACTTCACAGCCTCCCCTCTCCAAGACTACTTGTCACGATTCCAAGTCATTTTTTAAACCTCCCCCCCAAAACCTTACATGCAAGAGTATGCCTCAACTTCACAGCCTCCCCTCTCCAAGACTTCTTGTCACGATTCCAAGTCATTTTCTAAACCTCCCCCCCAAAACCCTACATGCAAGAGTATGCCTCAACCTCACAGCTTCACCTCTCCAAGACTTCTTGTCACGATTCCAAGTCATTTTCAATACCTCTCCCCCAAAACCCTACATGCAAGAGTATTCCTCAACTTCACAGCCTCCCCTCTCCAAGACTTCTTGTCACGATTCCAAGTCATTTTCTAAACCTCCCCCCCCAAAACCCTACATGCAAGAGTATGCCTCAACCTCACAGCTTCACCTCTCCAAGCCTTCTTGTCACGATTCCAAGTCATTTTTTAAACCTCCCCCCCAAAACCCTACATGCAAGAGTATGCCTCAACCTCACAGCTTCACCTCTCCAAGACTTCTTGTCACGATTCCAAGTCATTTTCTAAACCTCCCCCCCCCAAAACCTTACATGCAAGAGTATTCCTCAACTTCACAGCCTCCCCTATCCAAGACTTCTTGTTAGATTCAAAGTCATTTTTTAAACCTCCCCCAAAACCCTACATGCCAAGACTATGCCTCAACTTCACAGACTCCCCCCTCCAAGAGTTCTTGTCACGATTCCAAGTCATTTATCAAACCTCCCCCCCCAAAACCCTGCATGCAAGAGTATGCCTCAACTTCAAAGCCTTCCCTCTCCACGACTTCTTGTGTTAGAATCCAAGTCATCTTCTAAACCCCCCCAAAACCTTACATGCAAGAGTATGCCTCAACTTCACAGCTTCACCTCTCCAAGCCTTCTTGTCACGAGTCCTAGTCTTTTTTTATTAAATCTCCCCACCCAAAACACTACATGCAAGAGTATGCCTCAACTTCACAGCCTCCCCTCTCCAAGACTACTTGTCACGATTCCAAGTCATTTTTTAAACCTCCCCCCCAAAACCCTACATGCAAGAGTATGCCTCAACCTCACAGCTTCACCTCTCCAAGCCTTCTTGTCACGAGTCCTAGTCTTTTTTAAAACCTCCCCACCCAAAACCCTACATGCAAGAGTATGCCTCAACTTCACAGCCTCCCCTCTCCAAGACTTCTTGTCACGATTCCAAGTCATTTTCAATACCTCTCCCCCAAAACCCTACATGCAAGAGTATTCCTCAACTTCACAGCCTCCCCTATCCAAGACTTCTTGTTACGATTCCAAGTCATTTTCTAAACCTCCCCCCCAAACCCTACATGCAAGAGTATTCCTCAACTTCACAGCATCCCGTCTCCAAGACTTCTTGTTAGATTCTAAGTCATTTTCTAAACCTCCCCCCCAAAAGCCCTACATGCAAGAGTATTCCTCAACTTCACAGCCTCCCCTCTCCAAGACTTCTTGTCACGATTCCAAGTCATTTTCTCAACCTCCCCCCCAAAAAACCCTACATGCAAGAGTATGCCTCAACTTCACAGCCTCCCCTCTCCAAGACTTCTTGTCACGATTCCAAGTCATTTTCTAAACCTCCCCCCCAAAACCATACATGCAAGAGTATGCCTCAACTTCACAGCCTCCCCTCTCCAAGACTTCTTGTTAGATTCTAAGTGATTTTCTAAACCTCCCCCCCAAAACCATACATGCAAGAGTATGCCTCAACTTCACAGACTCCCCCCTCCAAGAGTTCTTGTCACGATTCCAAGTCATTTTTTAAATCTCCCCCCCAAAACCTTACATGCAAGAGTATGCCTCAACTTCACAGCCTCCCCTCTCCAAGACTACTTGTCACGATTCCAAGTCATTTTCTAAACCTCCCCCCCCAAAACCCTACATGCAAGAGTATGCCTCAACCTCACAGCTTCACCTCTCCAAGCCTTCTTGTCACGATTCCAAGTCATTTTTTAAACCTCCCCCCCAAAACCCTACATGCAAGAGTATGCCTCAACCTCACAGCTTCACCTCTCCAAGACTTCTTGTCACGATTCCAAGTCATTTTCTAAACCTCCCCCCCCCAAAACCTTACATGCAAGAGTATTCCTCAACTTCACAGCCTCCCCTATCCAAGACTTCTTGTCACGATTCCAAGTCATTTTCTAAACCTCCCCCCCCAAAACCTTACATGCAAGAGTATGCCTCAACTTCACAGCTTCACCTCTCCAAGCCTTCTTGTCACGATTCCAAGTCATTGTTTAAACCTCCCCCCCAAAACCCTACATGCAAGAGTATGCCTGAACCTCACAGCTTCACCTCTCCAAGACTTCTTGTCACGATTCCAAGTCATTTTCTAAACCTCCCCCCCAAAACCTTACATGCAAGAGTATTCCTCAACTTCACAGCCTCCCCTATCCAAGACTTCTTGTTAGATTCAAAGTCATTTTTTAAACCTCCCCCCCAAAACCCTACATGCCAAGACTATGCCTCAACTTCACAGACTCCCCCCTCCAAGAGTTCTTGTCACGATTCCAAGTCATTTATCAAACCTCCCCCCCCAAAACCCTGCATGCAAGAGTATGCCTCAACTTCACAGCTTCACCTCTCCAAGACTTCGTGTCACCATTCGAAGGCATGTTTTAAACCTCCCCCCCCAAAACCCTGCATGCAAGAGTGTCCAAAGAAAAAAAGCACGCGGATAGCTGTGGATTCATTCGAGACTATCGTTTCCATCGAAATCGTTCGATTTGGTTGCCCACACAGACATGTCATTTTGTAGATAACATGGTTTACCGAGTAACTGTTTTTAGTTACTGAATCAATGTTTCATAGTTTCCAAATAACACGTTATAGTTACGAAAGAGTATGGTTTCCAAATAAGACGTCTTAATTACCAAATCAGAGTTCGTAGTTATCAAATCACATGGTTACTAAATAATACCTTTTAGTTACCGAATCTACGTTTGATTGTTTCCAAATAACACGTTTTAGTTACCAAATAACATGGTTACCCAATAACACGTCTTGGTTACCGAATCAAATGTTTTAGTTACTCAATAAAACGTTTTGGTTATCCAATAAAACGTTTTAGTTACCCAATAAACCCGTGACCTGTGCAAAGGCATGTGCATGCATTCAGCACATAGTGCTTCCATTGAAACATTTTCCCATTTTGTTTCTTTATAGACTTAGCACACAGTGCTTCCAAAACAGCCAATGCTTTCCAAATGCTCGCATGCATGTGTACTTAGCAGACAGTGCTTCTCAAAAGCTTCAGTTAAAGTTCAGCTGCATGTTGCTCCAATGGCAGCAGCTAGCACTTGGTGCTTCCAAAACAGATAATGCTTTCCAAATGCTCACATGTGTACTTAGCAGACAATGCAGCTTCAGTTGGGTCAGCTGTATGTTGCTCCAATGGCATTGGTGCTTCCAAAGCAACCAATGCTTTCCAAATGTTCACATGTGTACAACATGCATGGCATGCCAGAAAACTTTGAATTTGAGCCATGCCATGCCGCAATATGATGCCATTGCAAATTTCTGCCATGGTTGAAAATGTGCCACCTTTTGTTAGATAGCCAGACCTATTTGTCTTCACAGCATTTTCAGTTGCCAGTTTCATGTCCATGGGTTCAGCACACAGTGCTTAAATTCGTTCTCAGCACCACAATGCTTCAAACATGTGTTCCAAATCACATATGTCAACCATGCTGCATTTTTTTGGCTTGCAGTGCCAAGCTGTGCACAAAAACTGTGCCATGGAGGACAGCCATGGCATGTGCATTGCATTCTGGGTTACATATATGCAATGCATTTTGTTTGGCAGGAGCCACCACCAAGAGATGATGAGGCATGGTCAACACAGCCAAATGACTGCCAACTATGCTTCAATTTCTCTCTCAGGCTCCACCTAACCCTGCAGCACCAGCTCAACCAGCAAAGGTTGGTCCACCAGACCAAGTGGCTTGGAACTTAGTTTCCAAGCATCAGAAACCATAAACTGCAGTGTTGAAATTTGCTCCAGCACCCATTGTTTTTTTTCACATTCACCAAATCAGCACGCAGTCAGTGCTTTTTGTTCCATTTGTTTCATTCAGCACACAGTGCTTTTTGTTCCATTTGTTTCATTCAGCACACAGTGCTTTTTAATCTGCCCATCTACGATGATTCCGTCAGACAAAAACTGTTGGCACTGCCGCATCACAATGCTCAGTGCTTGTGGAAGTCCTCCAGGCAACTGCTCAATAATATCAGTTCTGATAACAGAGATTGGAAGCCAAAGTGTATCTTTCCTCATCGGTAAAATCGACATCCAACAAAAATAAAAGCACCATGAGCGTCTTCTGTTGTCTGGTGCAAGTACGTTACCAACGACTGCCTCATCTGCGTAAAGGCATCCTGGGATGGCTTCTTGATTGGCATGGTCTTTCAACTCTGTTCGCCTCAACAAGTCAGTAAAATTTGTCGACTTCTGACACAAAGTATCGATGTAGAACTGCGTTGCCTCCTTCAACACTTTCAGAAACCCTTCCGTCTCCGCTTCGAGATCATCCGTGCAGTCCCGTCCTTGCAAGCCTTTTTGGCTTCTTTGGCCACAGGATCCAACAACCTGATAGTCTTCCTGGCATTTCCAAGGACCACCGCATTGGCCTTCTTGGCTTCATCCTTCTTTTCCTGGGGCACCTTCTTCGTCTTGCTCTTTGCCTTGGGTGCACATGCCTTTCTGGGCTTCGATTTGGACCCACCAGCACCAGCACCTGAGGAGATGGAGTCCCTCCCAGTCCTTCGTGTCAACCTCCAAGTCCACCACGTCTTCGTCTTCCATCTGCTGGCTGGCTTTTCGCTTTCCCACCTTGCGCTCAGCTTGCAGCAAGCGCTGACGAACCTTTTCAGTGACTTTCTCGTGGCTGATCTCGAGGATGGGCACACGATAAACCCAATCGAAGATGTCACTTCTCTGCTTCTCGGCATTCTGCTTAATGCGCTCGGTGTCGAAGCCCTTCTGCTCCCAAACAGACAACGGCAGAAATTTGCCATGCACAGCAACAGTCTGCTTGAGCATCTCCTGCTCCACCAGCTTGTCCTGCAACAGTCCCTTGACGTGGGAGCCGTACTTCTCACAGAGCTGGCCAGCTTTCTGAAAGAAGTCAGCGGCCTGCATGGTGAAAAGCACACTAAGTCATTAATCTATAGCGGTCTTAAACCCCTTGGTTTCAAACCACTTGCGGCCTTTTTGAAACACAGAAACTTTTGCGAAGGCATTTTGCAAAACCCATGCCTGTGCAGGTGGAATGTCCTTGAAGCCCACGGTCTGCATGTTGATGCACTTGTAAAGCATCGACGTGACGTTGTGGCACGTCTTGCAACTCAGCGTTGCATGCCCTTTCTTGGTGACCCTGTTGGTGGGATCTGCTTCGACTGGCATTCGGCAACTTCCACAGTAATCCCTTCCTCCTAATACTAAACCCCCCCCCTAATACAAAACACGGCAGGTAGTTTTTAGTATTAGGGGGGTATTTATTATTACGGAACCAAATCGAAGTCATGTTAATTAATTAATTAAATTTCCTTATATAACGCAATTAAAATATTGCCAAAAATGGCAGTTCGAAGCTTACCCCTAATACTAAATTAAAACCCTTAATACTAAAAACTATTTTTTCCGATCTCAAAATCAATTAAATTTCCTTATATAACGCAATTAAAATATTGCCAAAAATGGCAGTTCGAAGCTTACCCCTAATACTAAATTAAAACCCTTAATACTAAAAACTATTTTTTCCGATCTCAAAATCAATTAAATTTCCTTATATAACGCAATTAAAATATTGCCAAAAATGGCAGTTCGAAGCTTACCCCTAATACTAAATTAAAACCCTTAATACTAAAAACTATTTTTTCCGATCTCAAAATCAATTAAATTTCCTTATATAACGCAATTAAAATATTGCCAAAAATGGCAGTTCGAAGCTTACCCCTAATACTAAATTAAAACCCTTAATACTAAAAACTATTTTTTCCGATCTCAAAATCAATTAAATTTCCTTATATAACGCAATTAAAATATTGCCAAAAATGGCAGTTCGAAGCTTACCCCTAATACTAAATTAAAACCCTTAATACTAAAAACTAGCCCCCCTAATACTAAACACCCCGGGATGAATTAGTTTTTAGTATTAGGGGGGAGAACCCACAAATGGTAGGTTGATTTTTGAATTGTTTTTTAAAGGGGATCAATTAAAAGTCAAATTGGCCAAACTGAAATTTTCGGAAATTGGAGATGGATGCCTGTTTTTAGTATTGGGGGACGTTTAGTATTAGGAGGAAGGGATTAGTTGGCTGGTAACTTCTTCAAAGTGGACCAGTCAAACTGCTCAACAGGCATGGGCTCCTGGCCTGCCAGTCCTGAGGCTACACTTGGAGCGGATGGCGCCGCTTCCTCAGCAGGTTGCACTTCCTCAGCGGGTTCCTCCGCTTCCTGATCAGGCTGCTCTTCACCTCCACCTTCAGCGGCTTCTGCAGGGGGCAGGGGGCAAGCCGTCTTGGCTGTCTTTAACTTCAACTGTCTCTGGCACAGCATCCTGATCCACTGCTTCCTTCTTGCGTGGTGTGCACTCACCGGCACCAGGTTGATCAGGATACAGCTGCGTGTCTCCAAGGGTGTTGTCCACAGTGGCCATTGTCACCGAGCGGCTCGACCTGCTACTGCTACAGCGCTGACCTTGAGACCAAATGTCTAGGAAAGAGGTTTCATCACCATGTTGAACAATAACAGCGGCAACGCCGCTATAACCACTTCTCACTTATCCAAGACAGGAAGAAGCTACCACATCAGTAGCAGTGCCTCATAGCTGCACCTCGAAACTATTTCCCATTGACAGTGAACAAAGCGGACACACCGCTCTTATACCCCCAAAGCGGTTTGCACCGCTCCCCAATTCAGAGTGCTCAGCGAATTCCTTTTTTCAACGTCACTGAGGGCAGCAGCAGCGTCAAATGTCAAAGACAACACCCAGCATCCATCAATGTTCAACATCGAATTTCTCCCAAGATTCATCCAACATGCATAGGTTTTTCTATGCGTTGGGAAACAACTTCAGCCAACGATCTTTGGCTTCTTGGTGAGCCCTTTGAGCAATCAAGGTAGCCAGGTCCTTAGAAACACCTTTGCGCATCTCATTCTTCTTCACAAAGTGGTAGCACCTTGAGGCAAAGCGCTTGTCGGTGTCCTCTGGAAATGATTTCAAAAGCTCTTCCTTGTCATTCCACCAGGCAGGAATGGGTCTGGGTTCCTGCTTCTTAGGCACATGTGGCGTCTTGACTTTGGAAGGCAGACTTTTTTTAGTTCGGGCCGGCTTCTTCTGGACTGAAGCTGGCTTCTTGGCTTCCTCATATTTGACAACTTCCTGGATGCTGCGCTTCAGAGGTGGCGCAGGGATGTCCTCGGGAACTGGTTTCTTTTTGTCTTTGGCCTTTCTTTGAGGAACTGCATCTTTCTCAGGCTTTTCCTCAGTGATGCCGTTCTTGCGATCGGCCAACTTCTTCTTCAAATCGTCCAGGACACTGGCAACTTCTGGAACCTTGCTCTTCTGACCCTGCAAGTCCAAAAACAAAGTGAGTCAATGATGGGTGTTAAAGACTAAGGGTGTATGAGGTGTCATAAAAGTATCTATATGTAAAGTATTGATGGATATATGAAAAACAATCTGTATAATACAAGTAGCATATAATGAGTATACATGATTCTTCTGTCCCATTTACTGGAAAGAGTATCAAATCAAAACAAATCCCAAAACCGTCCGAGCATCTGAAGCTTTCAGCTTGGGTTTTACGATCAACGCATCAGCAGCAGAATCCGGATCTGCATCAGCCAAAGCAAGCATCTCAAGGCGGCCATCAGCCTTGGCATCCTGAATGCTCTCAGGATCATGATTTCGAGGGCACAACACCACGGCATCTCTCAAAGACAAATCTTGTAAAATTCCAAACTTCATGGTAACACTCCTTTTGGTCACCCTGGTCGGCATGGCTGCAGGAGTAGCCATCAATCTGTGATCCAGGCGCACAAATTCCATCTTCTCAAACGTCATTCGAAGTTGTTTTGGAAGATTGTTCATCTTGGAGGGCAAAGTTTGCAACATTTGAGATGCAGCACATGGTTCTTGCTCCTGATACTGCTGCAAATACTGCTTCAGCACCGGCTTGGAGATGTTCAAGACCCGATTCTTGATGTTCCCATCAGGCATTGAATCTTCCCAACGGCTCCAAAAAAGCAAACATGTCAACGGTCAACGTCGAGTAAGTCTTCTCACTCGCGTGACAAAGGCCTAAAAGGTGGCAGTGGTGGCACAACATCATCATGTTGGTGTCCAGGTTCGAGTAGGTATCCATCAACCTGTCCCACAAGTGTTTGGGGATCAGGTGCACCACATTCGTGTAGTCTTGGAGTTTTGTTCTCTTGGATTCACTCGAAGTAGACTCACATGCTTCTCCTTCTCCAAGTTCTAAAGTAACTTCTTTCAGCAAGGCATTCTTGGAACTTGGAAGCTTTGCTAAGATGCTTGCACCCATTGATGCTTTGACATGCCACGGCAGCAGCTTCTGCATCCCAAGGGCTTTTCTTACCCACGATGCCTAAAAAAAAGCACCTTGACCTTGACCCTTTGGTCTTCTACCTGCTTGCAACTAGGCAACTTACAATCTGACCCAGAAATAGGTCAGTTGCTTCCAAGGATCTCACAAATTGAGAAGCCATTGTCTATACGCCTTCCACTTGAGAAAAACAAGGCCACACTGTGCAAGTTGAAACCAACTCCCACCCTATATGGAAAACTGTACTTCAATAAACCAAGCGGTTATGACCGCTGTTTCCTATAAAAAAAACATTTCCATGAAGCGGGCACACCGCTAACAAAAAATACAGCTCATGCTTTCAGCGGTTACAACCGCTCAGCGGTCACACCGCTATGCTGTGATAATGTTTCCCCACGTGTTTTGCTGCGCTGGCTTTTTATAGCCTGATCTACTCTTGCAGTTTCTGCAAAAGATGTGCCCTAATCATTTCCACTTCGTCATCATTGCACGGCCATGAAGGAGAGATTTCCTCAAAAGCCCGCCTCAGGACAGATCCATGAGCGCACATGTTGAAACCAGCTGAAAAATAATACCACCAACTCCACAAACAGAAATGTAGCTAATATGACCAGGCACATGCGAACCTTGCCGTTGACATAATGATTTTTCCATTTCAGCTGGCCATCCTCCAAGATCCATTCCGGCTTGAAGATCACAAAAGAGATGCGATCGAGAGGTCGCGATAGCCTATCAGCGCAAAAAAGCGATCGAGAGGCAGATATCCATTTATAGCGGTCAGAAATGCTTTCCCGTTATAGCGGTCAAGACCGCTTTCCTACAAAAACTTCATTCCGACTTAAGCAAAACGTGCCTCGTAGGCAAAGGCGGCTCCATTGCGTCGTTTCATGATCCAAAGCTGCAAAACCGATACTTTTGTAATTAATACATTTAAAAAGTGATCACAAAAAGTTATGAAAACAACAAAAAAAGCAAAGTTCAAATTTCAAGTTTTTATGGCGTTTTGAAAAGTTATAAAAAGTTTTGATGAAAGTTATGACTTTTAAGTTCACTTAAAACCATGGGTTATACTGTTACTTACCCAAAGGCTCCTAGATTGAAAAAATTCAACCGAGATTGAAAAAATCAATCCGAGATTGATTTTCTTCCAAAATCAATCGAAAATTCAATCTGGGAAGGCTTTTGGAAATCAATCGAAAAATCAATATTTTTCTGTCTTTTTAATTTCAAAACATGGATTCAAAATTCAACCGAAAATTCAATAGAGAAACCAATCTGGGACAACTGGTTTTGTTGCTTGAGGTGTTGTATGTGTTGCAATTTTGAATAGGCACCACACCACCTATTGTCTTTATCTCTGTCTATCTAGCCACTAGACCCCAACTTTGTATGTATAGCTATCCAGCCACCACACTCCACCCTTGCATGTGGCTGTCCAGCCACCACACTCCACCCTTGCATGTGGCTGTCCAGCCACCACACTCTGCCCTAGCACTCTGCCCTAACATGTGGCTATCCAGCCACCACACTCTACCTTTTTGGTTTCTTGTTGCTTCTGTCTCTTCATGTCTTTTGGAAAAAATTACCTGCTTAGAGGTCTTTGGCTGTCCAGCCAGCTGCAATTCAAAACATGGCTGTCCAGCCACCTATGCACTTTACAGTCTTGGCCTCAGCAGCTAAAGTCCTTCATGTCTTCTTCCAGCTCAGGGTTCCAAACCCCTTCCAGGATCAGGTGGAAAGCAAACCCAAACTTGCTGAGAATCTTTCGTGGAAGCATCCAAGCTGGTGTGCTTTTCACACTTGCAGCAGCCACAGCCACCAGAAGCGACATGAAGCTTTCCCCACCATAGGCCCAGCAAGCCCTGGGTGCCAGGTATTTGCATTGGGCTGGGTAGTGAGCCATCAAGTGGTGCTTCTGCACTATACTCCACAGGCTTTCACCACTCTTCATGCTGTCCTTTGCAAGCCACCCATAGTGAGCCAAAAGCGCATCATTCTTCTCTTCAAAGGCCTTACCAATTTTGTCTGGCCAGACATACTCTTTTCTGTCACACAGGTCATAAGCTTCCTCCAGCAACTGGCACAAAAGGTGAATGTGCTTCCCTTTCTCAGTGGTTGGTAGCTCTTTTGCCAGCAGAGTGGCCACTGGGGCAAATTTCCTCACTCTTCTTCCTTTCACATGCCTCAAGCATGGAAAGTCATCTGTGAAAATATCCGAAGGGTTCAACCTGGGGATTCTGTCTCCTGCTCTGACCCCCAGTTCTTGGTATTTGGCAGCCACCCACCTGTTCAATTCCACCACACCTGCTTTCTTGCCTTTGCCAGTTTTCCCAACAAGGAGTGCACAAAGGTTTCCATAAACATGGGAAGCTACACCCAAGTCTACCAAGTGGAGGAGGTCCATCTTCAAGGTCCAAAAGGAGACACCAGGGACTTTGTAGAGGGGATGTGCCTCATTTGGTGGTGTGTCATCCCAGCTTCTGAGAGTTGTCTTCCACAATGCATTTTTCCTGAAATCTGTGAAGGGGTGCTTGGTCTTTGTCATGTCGAAAAAATTGTCTGCCCTGCAAAAAGGGCAAGGGTAGTTGCTCATGGCTGTTGGCCATCCAAACTCTGAAGAAAAGTATTCCAGGTCTCCTGCCAGCACAAACAAAACCCCCTTCTTCTTGTCTGCCAATTTCTTGAAACTTCCAGCAATAGCTTCCCAAATTGGTTTCAGTGAGGATTTTGTACTTGCAGTTTTTGGCAATGCTGCCAGCAAGAGCTGCGAAACTTTAATGGAATGGTGTGAGATAGCACATCTCATGCTCAGCACCATCAAGGAGTCCACCTCTGAGAATGGGGCACCATCTCCATGCAGAAGCCAAGGGATTGGCCTATAGCCTCCTCCTGGGTTGCAGTGCAGGCTTGGCATGTGTAAAGTAACACTACAGAAAGACACAATTCCAAAAAAAACATTTTTTTTGCATGCTAGGTTCTTCTCAGGCTGTCCCAGTAAGGCTTCCAGCATTGCAGCTGAGGATTGCTCTTCCAGTTTTGCTGGCTCCAGAAGTCATCCAGGCATTCCTGGCTGCAGGTCATCTGCTCTAGTAAGCCATTCCTTTCCAAGGTATCCACCCAGTCATGAGGTAGAATGACTGGGATTTCTTTTGCCAGCTCTTCAACTGCACCCATGTTGTTCTTCACTTTCACGAGGCACTTGACATCCATCGGTGTAGGGGCACACATCTCCTTGAAGAATGTCTTCACTAAGTCCCTATGACAGTTCTGTGGGCTTTCCCCTCTGGCTCCAAGTGCTGCTAATGTTTCTAAATCAACCCCACTAGCTCCACTCTTGCAGGCTGCCAATGCAAAGGCTTGGCACTCAGAAGCTGACAGCTTCCCCCAAGCAAATTTGTGAAGGAGAAGTATGGCTAATGGGGATTGCAGCACCAGCTTTTGCTGCTGGTCAGGAATATGTTTCCTTTTACCCATCTTGAACTTAAAATGGCTTCTGAAGCAGCATAGGTGAGCAATGCCAAAAGATGGCTATCCAGCCACCACACTCTACCCTTTCCTGTGGCTATCCAGTCCAGCCACCACACTACATGCATGGCTATCCAGCCATCAGAGACACACTTTTTCTCCTGCTTGCAATGGTGACTCCACAGCAGCTGGCTGTACAAAATTACTGTTTTTTTTGAATTTCCAGGTCAGTGCAGCTGGCCTGTACATCTTGTTGTTGCTCTTCTTTGAACTCTACCTCATCTGCCACCTCATGCACTGGGTTGGTTCTCTGCTTCTTCCTTTCCTCCCACTGTCTAATCTTCTCAGCTTCCCAGGCTTCAACTTGGGGTAGGTCTTCTGGTGGGATGAGCACCTGGCTGTCCTCGCCTGGGTGGTGCACCCATGTAGCATACTCAGGGAGACACATGGCTTCTCCCTTCACATACTCCCCACTAGAGTGCAATCTCTTCCCCATGCTGTTGCCAGGCTTGAGCAATTGAAAGGCTTGGAGACAAAATGCCAAGGTGACTAGCATCCCAACACATGTTTTCCCTTTCCAATGGGTGTGCACAGCATCTTGGCTTTCCAGCCAACACACTCTGCCCTTGCCTGTGGCTGTCCAGCCACCACACTCTACCCTTGCCAGTGGCTGTCCAGCCACCACACTACATGCATGGCTATCCAGTCATCACAGACACATTTTTTTCCTGCTTGCCATGTCTAATGTCTTCAAAAACCGCCTGCTTAGAGGCCTTTGGCTGTCCAGCCAGCTACCGAACTTTGCTTGAGGCCTGTGGCTCTCCAGCCACCTACCTTTACTTGGTGGTGCTTAGTCTTCACCATCACCAGTCTTCTTCTTAGTGGGCACAAAGGGCTTCTTGCACTTCTTTCCTTTCTCCAAGGCAGCAAAGCTGTCAAGCAAAGCTTCCTTGGCAGCTTCCTTCTTGCAGCCTCCTGAGATGACCTTCTCAATCTTTTTCTGGCTGGCCTGCAGTGCTTTCAGTGCTGATTGCAGAATCTTCAAATCATCCTTATTTGAAGACTTGCCTTTGGCTTCCAGCCTGGCCTCTTGCAGTGTCGCTTCATCTTTGCAGAGCTCAGTCTTGAAGGCCAGAAGCTTCTTCAGCAGGGAGTCCTTGTTGTCTGTCTTGCTGACCTGGCTCATCTCCTCCCACTTAGGCCTCTTGTCTTCATTTTTCTTCTCCTCAGGTTTCTTGTTCTCATCCTTTTTTCGGTCCTCATCTAGGTCTTTGGCTGCCAGCTGCTTCTGGAAGAAGTCTTTGAGCTCAGGCTCCATCTCCATGTCATCCAAATTTCCAGAAAGGCCAAAGCTGCCCTCCCCAATGTCCTCCAGGGACAAATTCTCCATGCTGAGCCAGTCATCCTTGCTGGCCTTGTGCTTGTCAGTGGAGTACTCAGTTCTTCTCTTCTTTGTTTGGCTCCACTTGTAGTATTCAGTACTGTCCAGGAACTCAAAGAACCTGGGGTCACTGGGGCTCTTCCTGAACTTCATGGTTCCTGCCTTCAGCCTGGCCACTGCTTCGTTTTTCCCATACTTGTCCACTTGTTGCTTCCAAGTGTTGAACTTGGCCTCTCCACCTTTCTCTTCTTTGCTCTCAAAGGTCAACATGGCAGTCTTGTATAGTTCTTTCCAATGCTGCCCTTGTCCAGGATGAAGGACCTGAGAAGCTGGTGCTTCTTCTCTTGGCTGCCCAGCCCTTTGGTCACATCCTTGTAGCTATCATCTTCTCCAGCCAGCTGCCTTTGTTTTTCGAATTTCTTCCACAGAACCTGGGCCTCATTTGCTGGCAAGTTGGCCAAGGCCTTGTCAATCTCCTTGGCACTGCAGAGCTTGGCAGCCAGGAGCTGCTGGTGGGTCTTCAAGTTCTTTGCTGTCACTTTGGGGTTCACCACCTCATCATCTGAAAAGACTTCCTCCTCTTCTCCTTCCTCTGCCACCTTCTCTGCTTCAGGGTCAGCATTGGCAGGCTTCTTGAGAAGGCCCCGGTTCTTCCCACCAGTCTGTCCAGCTGGTTTCTTTTTGGCCCTAGCTCCTTTGGCTGCTGCCTTGCTCTTCGGTTTCACTACCTTCTTCATTGCCACACTCTTGGAAGCAGGCCTCTTCATGGCAGCTCTACCACTACCCATGGCAGAGAGTTCACCAAGTGGTCCTACAGTGTTTAGTTTTGAACACACACAGCTATGCCACAAAATCCCTGGATTGAAATTTCCAAACAGCCAGGCCAGCAGCTGAGACCCCAGGAAATCAAAAAAAACTATTTCATCACATCTTATCACATGTTATCATGTGATAACTTGTTCTTCACATGTTATCATGTCTTATCATGTCTTATCATGTCTTATCGTGTCTTATCGTGTCTTATCATGTCTTATCATGTCTTATCATGTCTTATCATGTCTTATCAGGCTCTTCACATGTTATCATGTGATAGCATGTGATTTTTTCCACCTTTTGTGGCCATTTTTTTGCATGTTTCTTTTTTTCAATTTGTTTTTTTCCTTTTGCTTGGGCCTTGAAAAAATGGTCCATGAGTGGGAGTCAAGTTTAGTGGGTCCCTTTTACTTGGGCCTTCACAAAAAATGGTCCATGAGTGGCAGTTGAGTTTAGTGTGTCCCTTTTACTTGGGCCTTAAGTCCATAGTTGGCAATCTTATTTTCGAAATACATTAAAAATGTATCCATAGGGTCCTTCTGTTCATACCTGATTGTGTGTGTGTGTGTCACATTTCTATCATTTTTTCTATGTGGCTGTCCAGCCACCACACTTTCCCCTTTTTTCTTGTGGCTATCCAGCCACCACAGTCTACCATACCCCCCATGGCTATCCAGCCACCACACTCAACCCTACTGTGATTGTTTTTTTGTGGCTATCCAGCCACCACATTCAACCCTACTGTGTTTGTTTTTTTATGGCTATCCAGCCACCACACTCACACCTACTGTGCTTGTTTTTTGTGGCTATCCAGCCACCACACTCAACCTTACCCTGCTGCATATATGACTGATGATTGGTTTATAGGTATTTTTCACTATTATACACCAAACCCTGTTTCTAGTGCACCTTCCCAGGGTGCCATGCCTCCCGGTGTAGCTTGAGTTGCACCATGTTGACACAAGCTTCCTGCCAACCAGCTTGAAAGGTCTGCCATGTGCACTCTGGGGCCAAGCTTTCATGGATGGCTCGCAGCTTTTCCCTGAATTCCTTGGCCCACAACCCCCCTTGGCTGCTGTTGAGGGGCTGCATTTTGCCTCTTCCCTTACCACTGCCTTTTGCTGAGGCTGTCCAGCCTCCAGGCTCCTGTGGCTGTGTGGAGGCTGCAGCAGGGCTAGGCTCTGGTGAGGCCTTTGGGCTTGGAGTGGGCTGGGTGGCTGTCCAGCCATCAGAGCCACCAGGTGAGGGTTCGCTTGCCTTTGTGCTTGCCCATCTGGACTGTGCTGCTGCTTCTGGCTTGCCTGCTGCTTGTTTTGGTTGTGGGGTTGCTACTTCTGCTGGTGCTGGGGCTCCCTGTGGTGTTGCTGCTTGCTTGGGTGTAGCTTCTGCTTTGGGTGGGGGCCCCTCTGCTTTTGCAGGGGCTGCCTGTGCTTGGGCTGCTTTGGCAGCTGGTGCCTTTGCTGTGGCAGCTGGTGCCCTGCTCCAGCTGGTGCTGCTACAGCTTCTGTTGGTGCTGCTTGTGCAACTGCTACAGCCTCTGCCAGGCTTGGTGCTGTTCTTTCTGCTGCAGGTTCTTCCTTTTCTTTTTCGCCCCACCACCCATGGCTTTCTTCTCCACTGCCTGACCATCCCCAGTTGCTGCCCCAGTCTTGCCACCAACTCATGGCTCCACAGGGCTTCTCAGTCTGCGGGGTGCTAGGCTTGAGGGCTCCCCAAACAGCAGCAGTTATATAGTTTTGTGATTTGTGGCTATCCAGCCACCACCCTACTGTGTTTGATTTTGTGGCTATCCAGCCACCACACTCAACCCTACTGTGTTTGTTTCTTGTGGCTATCCAGCCACCACACTCAACCCTACTGTGATTTTTTTTGTGGCTATCCAGCCACCACACTCAACCCTACTGTGATTGTTTTTTGTGGCTATCCAGCCACCACACTCAACCCTACTGTCTACTGTGTTTGTTTCTTGTGGCTATCCAGCCACCACACTCAACCCTACTGTGATTGTTTTTTGTGGCTATCCAGCCACCACACTCAACCATACTGTGTTTGTTTTTTGTGGCTATCCAGGCACCACACTCAACCCTACTGTGTTTGTTTCTTGTGGCTATCCAGCCACCACACTCAACCCTACTGTGATTGTGTTTTGTGGCTATCCAGCCACCACACTCAACCCTACTGTGTTTGTTTGTTGTGGCTATCCAGCCACCACACTCTGACCAAAACTTTTTATCCCACAGCTTGCACTGGGTCTCTGGTTTTTGAAAAAGTCGCCTGCTTAGAGGCCTTTGGCTTTCCAGCCAGCAGTTTCTACCCTCAGGCCAAGTACTTCTCCACATCCAGCACCTTGTTCAGCTGTCTCAGCAGGTCTTTTTTGCCGCCTGGCCTGTTGCCTGCACAGGCTGGTTGCTGACACCCTCTACACCCTTTGCTTCTTAACTCATTCTTTTTGTTGATGTAGCTGTACATCCCACATATTTGGCAGCGTCGGAACAAGTTCCATTGTTCCTCCCAAAAAAGGTCCAGGAGCATCCCATCTTCATATTCAGGGGGTTCAGACTCCCAGCTCCCATCGTCCTCGCTGTCAGTGCTCTCCTCCTTCTTTCTCTTCTCAGCAGCCTCTCTGTCTTCTTCTTCTTCTTTTTCCAGCTGCTTGTCCATGTCATCCAGCATCTTCTGGAAGTGCTGGCTCAAGGCCTCCACAAAGCCATCCCAGGTTGGTTCTTTGCCACCCTCCTTTCTCTTCTCTTCTGCCCACTTATGGTAGCACCTTCTCATAGTCTCTCTGCAGCTCTCCTGCAAGAGAAAATAAAGGGAATCAAACTGATTGTAGTTGGCTCTACTCTACCCTACTGTGTTTGTTTCTTGTGGCTATCCAGCCACCACATTCAACCCTACTGTGATTGTTTTTTGTGGCTATCCAGCCACCACACTCAACCATACTGTGTTTGTTTTTTGTGGCTATCCAGCCACCACACTCAACCCTACTGTCTACTGTGTTTGTTTCTTGTGGCTATCCAGCCACCACACTCAACCCTACTGTGATTGTTTTTTGTGGCTATCCAGCCACCACACTCAACCATACTGTGTTTGTTTTTTGTGGCTATCCAGGCACCACACTCAACCCTACTGTGTTTGTTTCTTGTGGCTATCCAGCCACCACACTCAACCCTACTGTGATTGTGTTTTGTGGCTATCCAGCCACCACACTCAACCCTACTGTGTTTGTTTGTTGTGGCTATCCAGCCACCACACTCTGACCAAAACTTTTTATCCCACAGCTTGCACTGGGTTTCTGGTTTTTGAAAAAGTCGCCTGCTTAGAGGCCTTTGGCTTTCCAGCCAGCAGTTTCTACCCTCAGGCCAAGTACTTCTCCACATCCAGCACCTTGTTCAGCTGTCTCAGCAGGTCTTTTTTGCCGCCTGGCCTGTTGCCTGCACAGGCTGGTTGCTGACACCCTCTACACCCTTTGCTTCTTAACTCATTCTTTTTGTTGATGTAGCTGTACATCCCACATATTTGGCAGCGTCGGAACAAGTTCCATTGTTCCTCCCAAAAAAGGTCCAGGAGCATCCCATCTTCATATTCAGGGGGTTCAGACTCCCAGCTCCCATCGTCCTCGCTGTCAGTGCTCTCCTCCTTCTTTCTCTTCTCAGCAGCCTCTCTGTCTTCTTCTTCTTCTTTTTCCAGCTGCTTGTCCATGTCATCCAGCATCTTCTGGAAGTGCTGGCTCAAGGCCTCCACAAAGCCATCCCAGGTTGGTTCTTTGCCACCCTCCTTTCTCTTCTCTTCTGCCCACTTATGGTAGCACCTTCTCATAGTCTCTCTGCAGCTCTCCTGCAAGAGAAAATAAAGGGAATCAAACTGATTGTAGTTGGCTCTACTCTACCCTACTGTGTTTGTTTCTTGTGGCTATCCAGCCACCACATTCAACCCTACTGTGATTGTTTTTTGTGGCTATCCAGCCACCACACTCAACCATACTGTGTTTGTTTTTTGTGGCTATCCAGCCACCACACTCAACCTTACCCTGCTGCATATATGACTGATGATTGGTTTATAGGTATTTTTCACTATTATACACCAAACCCTGTTTCTAGTGCACCTTCCCAGGGTGCCATGCCTCCCGGTGTAGCTTGAGTTGCACCATGTTGACACAAGCTTCCTGCCAACCAGCTTGAAAGGTCTGCCATGTGCACTCTGGGGCCAAGCTTTCATGGATGGCTCGCAGCTTTTCCCTGAATTCCTTGGCCCACAACCCCCCTTGGCTGCTGTTGAGGGGCTGCATTTTGCCTCTTCCCTTACCACTGCCTTTTGCTGAGGCTGTCCAGCCTCCAGGCTCCTGTGGCTGTGTGGAGGCTGCAGCAGGGCTAGGCTCTGGTGAGGCCTTTGGGCTTGGAGTGGGCTGGGTGGCTGTCCAGCCATCAGAGCCACCAGGTGAGGGTTCGCTTGCCTTTGTGCTTGCCCATCTGGACTGTGCTGCTGCTTCTGGCTTGCCTGCTGCTTGTTTTGGTTGTGGGGTTGCTACTTCTGCTGGTGCTGGGGCTCCCTGTGGTGTTGCTGCTTGCTTGGGTGTAGCTTCTGCTTTGGGTGGGGGCCCCTCTGCTTTTGCAGGGGCTGCCTGTGCTTGGGCTGCTTTGGCAGCTGGTGCCTTTGCTGTGGCAGCTGGTGCCCCTGCTCCAGCTGGTGCTGCTACAGCTTCTGTTGGTGCTGCTTGTGCAACTGCTACAGCCTCTGCCAGGCTTGGTGCTGTTCTTTCTGCTGCAGGTTCTTCCTTTTCTTTTTCGCCCCACCACCCATGGCTTTCTTCTCCACTGCCTGACCATCCCCAGTTGCTGCCCCAGTCTTGCCACCAACTCATGGCTCCACAGGGCTTCTCAGTCTGCGGGGTGCTAGGCTTGAGGGCTCCCCAAACAGCAGCAGTTATATAGTTTTGTGATTTGTGGCTATCCAGCCACCACCCTACTGTGTTTGA